TTCGGCTGGGGCAGCGTCGGCGCCGTTGGTGGGTTCCTCTTCAGCCATGGGGAACGGCAGGTCAGATAGGTTGAGATGTTCACAACTCAGAGTGCCATTGGGTTCTTTGCCAAGGCATGGCAAGTCTTTTTTCTCTGAGCCCAAAGGAAAGGAGAAATTGACAAAAAAGAAACGAACTGTCAATTTGTTCTGTCACATCTCTCTGGCAACAAATGCATGGATATGGTATTGGAAATGCCGAAATCATGGAAAGTTTGTCCAAAAATAGGGAAAATAATGATCATCCAATGTTCATCAATGTTCTCTTCTAAGTTTTAAGAGCAACCCTGGTGGCCAATGAATCTTCGAGTTCCTGCCACCTCCCGGTCCATCAAGCCAATGTCCACCATTTTGGGCACTGCACAGATTCCACTGATCTCAGAGGACAGCTCCAACACACAAAAGCAAGGTCTCACCAGACGAGAAAATTTCAGTCATCATAAACTAACATTCAGGGCGGATGGACAGTTTGCCAGTCTGACATCACCTGATTTGTAAATAACATTCATGATTAGTAATTATGAGTAAAATCCCAACTCAAAAAAAAAACTTTTTGCATCACCTATTTGTAATTGCCAAGTTCGTTGGCGCAGTTGTGTTTGGATCCGATGTTAGAAGTACACACGCGACTTCAACTGCAGACCTCGATTCTGTTCATCATTGGATTGGTTGAAGATTTGACCCCCAAAGATGGAAAAGTCACCACTATGTTTGAATCGGCTTTTACTTTTCACTCTTTTTGGCCGCGTAATTCTGAGCCTTTCCAAAGTTTCCCATCCTTGGAGCACTGAGCCACGTGCTGCCATCAAGAGGGAGGACGCCAACATAACTACCTCGGCACCGTGTTCGCCCCGTCGCACAAGGGGCCCCGGTGCCAGTTTCACCAAGATATGGACATCTGCCAATTGCGTTGGAGCTTGTCCGATGGCCTCGATGGAAACCCGGCCCGGGGCCGGATTTCACTCAGAAATTTAATTGAAACATCTTGAAACTTGGCATTTTCGGTTCTTGAAGTATTTTGAGTGTTTGTTTATGGAATATCACTCTTGCTCAATTCCGTCTTCAAACCCATGGCAGAAATCAGCTTAAATACATGGCCGTTTTTGCTGTTGTGCCCCGCCAATCAGCGTGTTGTCACGCCAGGTTTTCCAGATCCACGGCTTGGGCGCAGGCCACAAGCTTTTGAAAAACGGAGCTGGCCTTGGCAACGACGCTACGAAGTGGGGGTGAAGCGCAGGACGCTAATCGTGGCTAGTGGGTCATATCCCTGACAGACATCTATAGTCTATATCTAAGCCATATATATATATTACTAAGCCATATATATATATATACAACATAACACAACATAAGATCGCGTAACATAACATGACATTACATACAGACATACAGACATACAGACATACAGGCTGTTGGCTATGACTGGATGCAACTTCGATGCACCACCGAAGACTGGCAGTTAAGACCAAGGCATTCACGGGTGAAGAACCTGTGCGACAGGCCGTTCCAGCTGGGGGACCTGAAAATGCTTACTCTTTGCCCAAAAACATTGCCATTTTAATGAGAAAATTAGCATAAAATGAGCATTGCATTAACCATCCAAATTTGGTGATTTTTGGGGTGTCTCCCCCTAAATTGTTAAACAAACCCAGCTCAAATGACTGTGCCTCCTGAACAACACAGCGGATTCAACTTACCTGGCGCGGTTCCATCTGCGGATACGACCCGAGTGTGCACATGTGGAGTACAACAAAATCACCAAATTGACCTCCAGATCCGGATTTCGGAAAAAAAAATCGCCATCATTTCACCGTTGTCCCGCCTTTGGCAACATTCGCTGGAAGCTTGGCACTAAGCCTTGGTTTGTCATGGCGCGCTTGTTTCATCGAGCCGTGTAGCTCGGAGCTTTTCTTGGGGGAGAAAAAATACTAAAAAATAACGAGATGATCGGGATATATGATAATAATAGGCATGTAAATGAGGATGTATCTATATATATATATAGAGAATGTGTATTGTATTATAATATATATAATGGGGAAATATTGGTTGGTACCTGAAAATTCTGGGAAGGCCGCATTCAATCCATTTGTGAATGAATCATTGCTTTCCTTCCGAATGGCCAATCACTTTATATCATTTTCAGATCCACACCTCCACACCCAACTGGAAAAGAGTTGTGTTACTAGTCGCAGCACTGAGGTGTTCACTTCAACCTCACTAGGTCCGAGGCTGTAAAAAGGTTGCAGGTAACTTCATAAGCCACAAGACCTCGCAGAGATGTAGATGTAGAAGAGTCAGCAAAGTTCTCTGCTTTTCTTTGCTAAAACAGCAAAAAAACATGCAAACAATCCACCCACCTTTCAGAAAGAGACCACCCAATGGCTCCACTGAGCCACATGTCTGTGCTCGGGTAGCAAGCTGTACAGCAATGTAAAGGCTCGCTTGCAAGTGGCAGATTCGAGGTCCAGTGGATGTAGAAAGGCGCAAAGCTTTACATTCGAATCTTTCCCTTCTTTGAGAGTGTGCTACATAGTTTCGAGACGTGCATCTTCGTTGGCGAAGTGCTTTCCCATGTTGTGAAAGAAATTTATAATAAGGGAGCTCTTGCTGTGGAAGTGTCTGACTCCTTGGTGAAAAGGTTCCCTTGAAAAAAGGCTCGAAGCTGCATTCAGACCTGTCAAAAGTCATTTGGTATAGGCCATATAGGGCATTAAAGATTGGAACATTGGAACCCGCTAAATGGACAGCAAAAAACACTAGGTGTGACCAATCGTGTGGGTTCATTGACATCATTAGCACCCTCGTTTCTGACCCACACCCAAATGGTTTCACCGTTCAAATTCTTAGGCAAAACTGCTCCGAAAGTCTGAAAGTGTATCTTCTTTTGCATCTGGCAGCGAAGCTCCACCAAAATGTACCAAGTGAAACTGAGAGCCTTTTTTCAGAAGCACAACTACGAATCACTGCCATATGCAAATGCAGTAAAGGAAGCACCAAGGCAAACCACAACCTGGCACTCAGCGCTTGTGGTATGGAGTCTTCTTGCGTGCCTGGTCGACAGAAATTATGAGATATGCTGGGAGCCAAACCGTAAATGGCCAGAACCAATTCCCTTGCGATTGATTTCAGGAAACTGTTGCAGGAAAGCCATTTTTTGGAGCAAAAACCGTGATTTCCTGTATGAAGCTTCCCCAGGCCAAGTTTCAATGAACACATATGGAGGTTTCTCAAAATGGGGGTACCTCCAAATCATCCATTTTAGATTGGGATTTTCCATTTTAAACCATCGGGGTACCCCCCATTTTAGGAAACTTCCATCTCGTCCGCCGGCCTTGGGCTGACCTGTCTTCTTTGGTTCAACCATTCGCCAATCGCGGGTGAGGAATCTCGCTTTCTTCATCAGCGGCCTTCAAATCCAGATGTCAGAACCAGGCAGCTTCAAGAGATAAGAAAGAATCATATGCTACCATGGTTATAGCTATACAATAAATAATATATATATATATATATACAGTATACATATTTATCTATATATATACATACAGTATATACATATATACTGTGTACATATATATATATATATATATACACAGTGTGTGTATATATATATATATACAGTATATATGTATAGATATACATATATATAGCCACCATTGTTAAAAATGAACCATCAATTGGGGGTGCAATGGGTACAGAGGCAAGAACAGTCGCAACTGATCAAAGTGAGAGCCTCCAATTGAAATTGTACTCTTGCATGGCTCGTGCCAGCGCCAAACGGATCGCACCTTGAACAAGTCCACTTGTTTCCCATTGAAACACTGAAACATTTGGCATTTGTTTCTGAAACCATTGGACCTGGTGGTCCTATTTGCTCAGACCATTGGACCTGAGACCGGAACCCGCTTGACCACTCACACCTCCGCCGAAGCTCTTCGCAATGATGTCAAACCTACAGTCGCTGAAGTGCCGCTGGGAAAAACACGTGCCACCCGGCCATTGGTGAATCATCATTTGCTCATGAAAATGGCCATATCTTGGCCCATAGCCCATTTATGCCCATTTCCAGGTTGCTCAGACACTTGCAAAGTATAAGACATCCGCGGCATCCTTGGGATCCCACTTGTTCTTCTGAGAAAGAGCTGCCAACGGCTCACACGCCTCACCGCCGAAACCGCCCGGTACCGAAGCTGGTTTGGTCAAGGTGGACGCCAGCCTTGAGCCACCAAATGGGGTAGTTGTTGAAGTACTGAATTGCCTGTAGCGGAAACGCAACCGAAACTGGCAGAGGCATTTTGAATGCAACATTCCATTCGTGAATACATCAACCAGGTCTGTCTGAAAGTGATCTATATGTACAAGTTTCGTGGTTCATCATAATTTTCCTTAGTTATATAATATGTATATATATATATAAGATCTCCGGTTGCACTGACTTTTTTCCATGCCAGCTATGCACTGCGTGAGTTGTTATGCACAGACTTCAGCAAAGACGGTTCTCACAAGCGTCGCTGAAGTTGACCCTGCTTTGGATGGACTGCTCAAGGGATGGGACGTAGTGCAGGGAGGGTTGTCTTGAGCGGCAAGGAACATGCATTTCACCATCGAACTTAGAAGTGCAAGATCTCCGGTTGCACTGACTTTTTTCCATGCCAGCTATGCACTGCGTGAGTTGTTATGCACAGACTTCAGCAAAGACGGTTCTCACAAGCGTCGCTGAAGTTGACCCATTTCTCCCTTCAGTTCCTTGTAACTTGTCCAAACCAAAGCAAAACCATAGATTATCCGAAAACGTGCCATCCAGAATTCTTCAGATTTAACCAGAGCTGTAAAGAAGAAATCGCACAAGGTATAGACTTTGTACCGTGCTAATTCAGGGATAGCAGAGAAAATAAGAAACGATGACCACTCCTGGAAATAAATCTCCATTGTCCAAAATCCTCTTCTCCGCAAAAACTCTGAATTTTCTGTAACATATCTATGTTGCTCCACCAGGGCGAAAGCGGCCTAAATCCAGAGTATCAAGGTTAAACTTCACGGAACCCAATCCAAGCTCGCTCATAAATTTTTTGAAGCGTAGTTGCAGGGTTTGACCGAACTTCTGCTATAGCTTGAAATGCCAAAAGGACTACCCTTAAACGGTCAAGGATGTCCCAGTTCGCGCATTGATGTCTGGCCGCAGCGAACCTGGTTTTTTGGTTCCTCTGAGGCAAAAGAGCAAAACTGTTTATGAAGCTGGTATCACAAGGCAATAGAAGGTCCTTCTCGTCGCCTGCAAAAATGCTCCAATTCACGGTAATGCTCCCCAACATAGGATAAACATACCAGCCATATCAGTCCACCCCCAAGCCAAACATAGGAATATAGCAGAAAGTAAAACCTGCCAAGGCATTGCTAAATGGTAGGCCGTGAGCTCGTCCTTATCCAGCAAAAGCACGGTTCCAGGCCTTTAGCAGTTGACTTTTCATAGCAGGCTATTTCGAGGCTATGGAATTAATAGCTTCAGCGTAATGATCGTAGGGTCTTCCAGCAGAGTAAAATACACGCCCGTAACAAACCAGCTGTTTGCTCAGCTTGTCAATGGACACATGGTGATGCTCCAGCAAAGTTTCCAGCGATATACCCAAGTCCAGGAGCCATTCTCAAATTGAGAAATCAACGTGTCTCGCTGCTTAATGGTGACTCCAAATACAGGTCTTCCATCCTGCAAAAGAGACCTCAGGTCGCGCTGGCCTTGTCGTTGGAAGTCACCAGCATCCCGGGGTGCAATGACGCCATGGCTCGATCCTACACTACAAGCTAAAACTACCAAAATCCAACTAAAGTAGCTGACCCTGCTAACAAGGCAGAGAGGACCTTCACCGGGAAAACCCAAGGCGGCGGCAAAATCCAAAGAGAGAAAGCGAAGCACAGAGAGAGGAGGCGAGACAGAGGCCACACCGAAAGGGAAAGCCCAAAAGGAATCAAGGGAAGGTCAGTGAGATGGAAGGCAGACGGACCCCACATGAGAAGGATGAACCGAGTCCAATTCGAGGCCCATCTCCTTAAAGAAAGCGACGCAGCTAGACGATAGAGGTCCCTGCGACCCCAGGCGGCTAGTCCAAGCCAGGAGTTGGGTCCCTCAAAGCCACATCCTTTGTAGGATCATCGAAAGGGTTCAGCCAAATAGGAGCAGAACCCAAAAACGAGATGCCGTCCACCAAAGACACAGAAGGCCGCAAGCCTAAATAGAGCCCGAGACAGGGCCTTCGATAAAGATCTACCCTTCGAGGCTGCACATCTCACAACATACGGGTCAAAAAGGGATTACTAATCGGAGAGAAACCCTACGTCTTACGAACTTATGCATTAGCCTTAGCACAGCCCCAATTTCCAGAATGTTTATATGAGAGCTAACTCGGTAAGTCCAAACAGACATCAGCCCCCACTTCTGAGAAAAGCAAAAATCGCACCATCAGGCTTTCCAAAACATCCACTGAGCCATGTGCACGGCTTTCTTCTAAAGTCGACAGACGCAAGATCCCATAGGCCACCACCTTAGCTAGAGCACTGCAGGATCATGGACATAGGTTGCTGAGGCTTTGTAAATTTACCTTGGACCAGACCATGTTCATTATCTCCTGCACATCTTAAGGGAATGTGCTGCACTACGGCCTAAACACACCAGAATATTTACAACGATCTGATGTGAACTGACCCGTAAGCACAGGAGTTGCATCTTACCAAAACAACATGTTCACAACTTTGCAGCGATCATCATGCAGGGAGAAACTTGATTTTTTAGAACCATAGGTTCTCAAACATTACAGTCACTCCATGCTTCACGCGAAAATGCAAGAGTTGAAGCGCTTTGTGGGCCAGCTTGATCCATGTCCTCGTATGCACCTCTTGGGTTAAAACTGAAGCACCAGCAAAAGCCAAACTGATTGGGAAGGTGGCAGCAGTTTGGAGTAGCCACACTTGGATCTGCAGCAACGCCACAAGCAGGTGGCCAAGCTCTTGTCAATACAACTCTTGACAGTTGCCCCTTTATTCAGTGATACATCCGTCGCAAACAGCTCTGTGCAGGAGTAAACCGCAACATCGGCAACGCATAAAGGCGCCAAGCCGCCTAATAGGCTCCGCATTGTTGCAACACTTCGAGGAAAGCTCACTAACTTTGGGCTCGAGGCACTAATGAAGGCCATCACACAAACTGGAAAGAAGACTGCAGGACAAAATGAAAGGTCGCCTAAGCATCAGCGCATGCGTCCAAAACCCAATCAACAAAGCTGTAAAGCGTCTGTCGTATGAATCCATTGGCTTACCTGAAATAAAATCCAAAATCAAAAAAGAGCATATCTCTTTACGAGATGCTGCTACCACACATGTCCTATTTCTGACATTTTCTGAGGCATTGACGCTGGCATCAATAACCTTGGCCTTTCTGGATCCATAATTTCTTGTCATCTAAGCCAATATCTTATGCTTCACGTAACCCTTCTTTGGAAGTGCAAGGCATGGAAGGGGAGGGTCTGCAACCACATACTTCGAGGCACTTTGCACCACAAAATAGGCATCAAACACTAGTCCTTTGCAAACACGTCACCATGGAGAGGACGGTAATACAAAACTCTGGAGGTTTCAGTTCGGAAGCCTACTGACTGCAAAAGCTGCTCATGTGCTCTGGTTGCAATTTCAAAACCGGCATGGTCTCCCTGATTTAGACTACCAAGCCCACCTTACAGAAAACTACAGGCAAGCGGGGAATGACTGTCTGCAGGAAAGGACCAGGGCGGTCCCCTCCAACAATACGGCTCTTTTTAGCAGCTGGCTTGGCACATTTAAAAGAGGTCAAGCTTAGGTGTCTTCATGAAGCCAAAGGGAATCCCAGGTCCAACCATGTTCTATCTGATCCTAATCGGAGTGCACCAAAACTGATGGTAGAGGTCGCATCAATTTGTATAGGATATGGAGAGTGTCTCTTCACGCACATTTACGAACAGGCCTAGAAAGTCTGGGCCTGAAGGCAGGCTTTGGAAGGTCCAGACACCCTACCTTCTACAGAATTGCGGCCTCTTCTATCGCCAATCTGTCTGTCGCACTCTAGGTTCTTAAAGTAGTTGAAAACCAGGGCAAGCTCAAAGCACTTTTCCCTCCAAAAGTCAGTTTCATGTATATGTAGTGACCCTCGTGCATCCCATAGCTTTGCCAGCGGAGAGACCTCATCTCGCGGATCCATCCACAAGGATATTCGGAGGCACTAGGAGTTCGGTCAAGCTGCAAGGAGTCAGGATACCTATAGGCCATGCAAAATTCAGCGCAAAGGAAACTAATAGCGTCAAAAAGGCCACGACTACCCACCTTCAAAAGGCTAGCATCAAGCGTACTGTAAGGCTCGGTTTGATCAACAAGCTGTTGTCACGAGGCACATCATGACCTGGGTAAGTCTTCCCATAGGAACCTGCTCCAGCGCCTAATTTGTCAAAATTCCAGACAGCTCGAAAGTCGGGCTATCTGTTGGTGAAAACGTCGACCACTGCGCAAAACCTAAAGGCTCAGTAGGGCCGTCAGCCAGCAAGAGGCCAGTAAGCCTGCGAAGAATTCGCAAAAGGCTTGCTGATGTTGCCCTCTCCAGATGCTCTAAATGGATAGAACAGCTTCCACTCTACCAATAGTCAAGGGCCATCACCACAACGTGCAAAGCTCGTCAATGATAGCAACGATCCCCCTTTTGGAAGAGGAAAGACCTGGAGGCATCCTTGCGAACACTCCACAAAGGGGACAGGCAAGGGAATGCCGGCGATGACGAAGTCATAGTGCTTCGTTGCAGATGCAAAGTGGCATGATGGAACGCTAGAAAGAGGAGCGAGTCCTCAATACTGAAAAGGCCAAAAATGAGCACCAATTAGTAAAGGACATGGTGTTCACAGGGCTCCTATGAATTCCTGTACACTTCAGGGCGTGCACTTCAAAGGAGGTCAACCTCGGATAGGCATCGGCAAGGACATGACCTACATTTCATGCAAACAGAGTCAAAAGTTTTATGGTTAACTCAAGTCATTAATTAGTTAAGCTGTTTGTCCAAAGGCAACTTTGCACCCTATGAACTTCTGCGTAGGCTTCTCATCTCTCAGGCCTCTGGGGCGGCCTTTGCTTTTGGCTTGTGAGGATACCTCGGCTTCCTTTTTGGGGATGCTTCACGATCTGGTTCGACAGCTGCTGCGCTTGGGCTGCCTTCGGTTTGAGAGGGCGCCTTTGCAATGCGTTTTGCTGTTTCTCCCTTCTTCGTAGAAAGGACTTCCATATCTTTTAGATAAGCCAGGCAAACTGCTGTCCACGGCGGTGGAACTAGGGGGCCAAAAGGCCTTGCATGGTGAGCTATGCTGGCAGTCCTATCTTGGAAAACCTGGATCGGCGGTTCTTCCATCAGGGTAAGCATGAAGGCCAGTGTCCAGTCTCCTCTGTCGGTTACGGCCTGCTCGACTGAAACCATCAGCAAGGCGAGCAGTTCCTTTGTCATATGAAAATCTCCTGCTGATGCAGCATCTATTGCATGACCTAATACCCAAGCAACTAGGCCTAGTTCCCGATTGTTCTTGTAACCTCCTTGTCTTTCAAGGTATTGCAACACAGACAAGGATTTCAGGTTTTCCTCTGTTTGGGGAACAGGCTTGGAGGGATGAAGTCTGCGATGCAACTGCTGCATCATCTGCAAGAAATACTGGCTATTTCCACATGCTAGATCGTTCTGCATTTTCTCCCTGCGTTGAACGCCTTTGGTTGAACTCCCAACCTGCCCTGGTGTAGTAAGATCTCCTAAGACATCTCCTGACTGTGCTGTCAGGTGAGCCACCAAGGCTGTCAGCGCTGTGCTCTGATTGGTCAGCGCAACAAGCATTCCATCTGTACCTTCTTGGGGCTGCAATGCATCGTATGGCTCGTCTCCTTCGACAGCAGCCGCATTTTGGGTCCCAACCACATTCCGCGTCTTGGGAGGAGGTCCTATTAGGCTCAGTGCTTTTGCTCCAGTAGTCTGTGATACGCCACTGGGATTTGGCAAGCCCGCTGACACAGCCGGCAATTTGGAAACCGGCCCAACATACTTTCCTGGCACATCGGCGGCGGAAGAGCTTGCCATTTGTTCCAAGCGATCCTGACGTTGAGTGATCAGCTGGAGTTGGGCAACCACTGCCGTCAACTGATCGGCTATCATAGCATTCGATATTTTCTTGGCCGTGGCTTTCTTGGGGGCTGTAACAGCTTTTGGAGGGCTTGTTACCTGATCTTCTTGGGCGGAGTAAAAGCCCGTCCTGACATCAGATCTCAAAAGGAGCCACTCACTGACATGGGCCAAAAGCACTGATACATCAGGCAAACTGGAAGGATGTTCATTTGAAAAACCAAGGATCGTTGCAAGGGAGTCTGTGACTGGATCATACTCTCTACATTTCGACAAAATGTCATCAGGTACATCAACTACAAGCACCTGAGCCTCAATTCCGAGAGGCACGGCAACTGGCGTCGGAACATCATCTGCTTCTTCTAGAAGCTCTGCAGAAAAAATTGAATTCGGACCAAACGGATGCTCATCAGATCCTGTTTGACCATCTGAGAGGGTCTGTGCGGAAAGGCTGTCATGTGGGAGGGCTAAAAGTAAACCTCCCTGTCTAAATTCCAGAGGCAGTGCATACACGTCTACTTCATCCCTACTGAAGAGGCAACAGCAGGTACAGTAAGCACAAGCAAGGTAGGTTCACCTTTACTTGCAGGCCTCACATTCTCCTTCCTCAGCATTTTGTACGGCGGAAGAGCGGGGGAACTGCGATATGTGTGCTCCTTGGCAAAAGACTTCCAGTTCCGTCTCCGTTTCAAAGCCGTGAAATACACACCCTCCAGCAAAGACCTGTTGACGGAAATGATTGAAATCAGCCTCAGAATCAAATCGAACAACACCGCCGAGCCCGCAAGCACGGAGAACAATGAAGTGAGAACTTTTCTCTGAAATCACCGCAGGGGCAATTTGGTCTGTGAAAGTCTCCAATGCAAGTCTGGCCCAAAAGCCTGCTGAAAACGCAAGGTGGACACGATTCAAGGCTTCGGTCTGATCCCAGGCAACAAAAGCCGCCTGCTCTTCCACAATTGCCGGGACAGGTCCTGGACCCTGATCAAGAGTTCGGAATTCTGGGCCAACAAATTCTGGTCCTGCTTCCTTTTCCAAAGTCCACAGACGGGCGATCTGAGGAATGCCCGGGAAGGAAGCTTTAGGAATGGAAGTACCCGCAGCTGCAGCACGGGCCTTTGGATCACCTCTACGATATCCTTTTCCTGCCCCTTGAGACGAGCTGGAGGATTCCTCCTTCTTCTGCCAATCTTCCAATCTTTCAAGCCTTTCAATGAGATCACGAAGCTCACTGGAGGTAAAGGGGAAGCTCATTCAAGATATTGTGCCAGCCTGTTTCTTGGAGCAGCAGGAGCTGGAAACAGGAAATGGCAAAGGGGAACGCGGAAAATCCAAAGGGCAAGCAAAAGTCCGGAAACAACCAAACCAATGGAAAATCCGAAGCAAAGTCCAAAGACCAACCAGGCAATGCAGGAGGGATGACAGTGAAAAGGGCAAGAAGCAAAACGGGAGAACTCGTTAGCGAAGGCCAGCCACTTCCAAACCCTATCAGCTAATTCTACATGCATTTGTCTTGAGCGGCAAGGAACATGCATTTCACCATCGAACTTAGAAGTGCATATATACATACATACAGTAATATTATATAATTACATACACATGTGTGTGAATCTTACCTTTCACTATTTTGGGTATCCGTTATCTAAATGGCTTTGGAGTATCCCCCCAGTTCTGAACCCGTTGCCGTTTTTAGCGCACATCCTTGCCGTTGACAATGAACTGACCGTTTCCCTTCACAATGCGCACGATGGCACCTCAAAGACTGGGATCAAATTCATGGAGATATACTGAGATAATCTGAGATAATCCGATATACCCTCCGGTAATCAAAGATGGCTAGCTGGAATGGTGTCCCTTAATTTCATGGAGCTTTAGATGGGATTTTATCAACGATTAGTTTCCATTGGGTTTATGTGCCAAAGCCAATGTCATAGTCACCATCCCCAATAGCGGTTTATGAAATTGGGCATAACTGTATAACCCCCACGACTGGGATGATTTTTACTATGGCCCCTGTCATGTTTGGTGAATGGGATGGCATTGGGTTTACCACTTTACTGATATAATCCGATATGTTCAAATACTGGATATATCCTCGGTATATCCTCCATATATCCTCAAGTCCGGATAGAATCCGAGATACCAAAATATGGATATCAAATGTCTGATAGAATCTGAGTCATGAGGTATAAATACATAAATACGTACAAATATCAGGACAAATGCTCAGCAGTCTTTCTCTGACTGAGAAAATGCTCAGTCTTAGGAAGTCACAAGCAGTCTTTCTCTTTCCAACTCCCTGCCAGTACCTGGCACGAACGGTGGCGTTGAAGGGGCGCGGCAAGCCCGGTTAACAGCCCTTTTTGGTTGGGTCATTCCAGTGGGAGTTGAGAAAATCTGCAGGAAACTTCCGCATCAAATTCGTTGGGCTTTCCTGCAGATTTTCCTTACCAATCCATTGAATTTAGCACTGGTAGTTATAGCTGGTGAAGCCTGGTGAAGGGGGTAGTTCGAAACCCACTATTGGCGGCTGCTTTCAATCCCACCCAGTTTTTGGCAAAGCATTGGCGGGAAATATAGTCTTATATACCATCATTCCTCCATTGATGGATCAACTCCCAGTATTTAGGGTCAAATTCTGATTCTTGAGGGTGTTAATTCCGCTTCTTCGGATGTATGTATATATTATTATATATTGATGGTTCATATTCGATCATAGTATGTATATATTGATGGTTCATATTCGATCATATTCCCATATATTCCCACTGCCACCTTTGATTTTTCTTGATGCTTAAAGTCTGGCATGTCGAATGCTGAGGTCCATGCTGGACTTTCTCGTCTTCGATGTCCATGTACCAATTTCCATCCTGTGCACGGCCATCACCTCGCTGGCCAGGGGTTGAAGCAGAGAAATTGATGAAACATGATGAAACACGATCTTCAGACCCATTCTTTTAGAAAAAAATCCAATGGCAGCCCGGCAGCCAGTTGGAGTCGATCTGAGGTCACAACCCCATTTTACACCAGGCTCGGGTGGTTCAAGCGGAGGGTAGTAGAGATTTGGATCCAAGGGAAACTGAAGTCCTGCACGTCGCAACGTCGGTCGCAAGTGACACACCGTGCTGGAGATGTTTTGATTAACCAATTCATGTCCATTTGCTGGTGAGCAAGTGACCATGTCTTCATGTTCTTCCTACATGTTCCCCAGTCATGTTGCTCAAATATACCCGGATGATTTGTATCCCCATAGTTGCTCCTGAAAATCACCGTTTTTTGATTTTGTGTAAACTTGAGGCCGGGGGTGGATGACGAAAGCTAGCGGGGTAGGAGAAAGAAGGAAGGGAAGAGGTGAGTTGCGGAGGGACTGTCATCATCGTGTCGCGGCATTGTTCGTCCCAACGAGGATGCAACAATGATATATTGATATATGATATATAACAATGATATATATGGGGGAGGGGGCAGGGGGGGGCCCTTTCGCGGGTGTCCTTGGGGAGCCCCGGAATACGTGCTAAAGCAAGAAGACTCTAGCGAGCTGACGCTAGCTTTCGTGATAATGACAATCATTGCCAATAATGATAAAATGTAATTGAATAACGATGATGATGATGATGATGATGTATGATGTATGATGAATGATGAATGATGAATGATGAATGATGAATGATGAATGATGAATGATGATGATGATGATGATGATGATGACGATGACGAGGACGCGGACGAGGACGAGGACGATGGAGAGGACGATGACGATGATGATGACGATGATGATGATGATGATGATAGATAGATAGATAGATAGATAGATAGATAGATAGATAGATAGATAGATAGATAGATAGATAGATAGATAGATAGATAGATAGATAGATACATCGATAGATACATAGATCGATACATAGATGGATAGATAGATAGATAGATAGATAGACAGATGGATGGATAGATAGATAGATAGATCGATAGATATAATAGCATAGATAGATAGATAGATAGATAGATAGATAGATAGATAGATAGATAGATAGATAGATAGATAGATAGATAGATAGATAGATAGATAGATAGATAGCATAGATAGATAGAAGATAGATAGATAGATAGATAGATAGAATAGATAGATAGATAGATAGATAGATAGATAGATAGGATAGATAGATAGATAGATAGACTAGATAGATAATAGAAGAAGATTAGATAAATAGAATAGCATAGATAGACAATGATGATGATGACGAGGATGCTGAGATGATGATGATTGATGATGACGATTGATGCATGGAACCGATGGACGCATGACGATGACGATGACGAGACGATGCACGAGACGACGAGACTGATGATGGATGATGATGATGATGATGATGCATAATGATGGATGACGAGGGACGCGGACGAGCGACGAGGACGAGGGACGATGAGAGACGATGACGCATGATGATGACGATGATGATGACGATGTATGAATGACCGGGGGGGGTGATATGACATGACGATGATTGATTTGATGATGGATGCATGATGATGATGATGATGGTGGTTTGATGGTGGTCGGCTGGGGTGGTGGGGAGGGCGAAGATGATTTGAATCGGTATCTTCCTTCCGGGCAAGCTTTTAGGGTTGTGCGATCCAGGGGCGGCGTGGACTTCGCTGGGCGGGCCCTCGCGTGAAAAATCACGTGATGTCCTTGAGCAGCCCCCCCAATACTTGCTAAAGCAAGAAGACTCCAGCTAGCTGACGCTAGCTTTCGTGATAAGAATGTTCAAAACAATAAGAACAATCATAGTTAGTAATAATAGTAATAGTGCCACTTCCTCTAATCCATCAAGTTTAAATTCTTGTCGGATCGCATTCGAAAAACTGCATCTTTCCCAGCTAGTCCCATATGGCTGAGGATAAAGTGGTGGCCACAGAAGACACCACAATACTATACATATTTCTATATATTTCTAAGATTTATGTGGTGATAAACTAATCCTACTTGAGAATCGGGATGTTATTCTTGGCTTGGGAGAGCCAGAAACGGATCCACATCTACGCATCGCCTTCCACCACGGGCACTTTCTTGTAGACAGGGCCAGTGTAAGGGTGGAACCTCAGAAAAATCAGCCACGTTTCCAGGTGAACTTCCTCAAAGTCCATAGCCCTGTGTCGCGCCCAAATCTGTTGATCAACCGATCAACGACTAAGCCATGAACTTCTTTCCACTTGGATCTTTCTGGGTACCCGGTGGAAGATCCTTCTCAAAATCAATTCCTCAGCATGTGACCACTGTGACCCAGCGAACAAAACGACTCATCGATTCATCCTGAGCACAAGGCGTTCTTCAAACGGATTCACATAGTTCGGTTTTCCCGTTTCGGGGTCGATTTGACCTTAGAGCCGGGAATGTAACTCAAACCAAACACAAAAACACCACCTAAGACGGACGTGAGTTCCGTGCCCATAACAACTTCTTCAGCTTTGCGCGAAGTTTTGGCCTGTCATCACAAGCAAAATAAAATATATCCGCATCGAAGAATTGAAACAATTGAGCACAAAAAAATGATTTTGAGTCAGCAATAGATTCATCACAGTCTTTCTGCGGTCCAAGATCCTCGTTTACCTAATCTCCTGCTGGTCACATCCACAGGTTCACCACAGGGTGAAATCAACCAGAGGTATAGCCATTGCCGAAACCCAAACCTCTTTTTGCACTAAATGGTTTTCACAATTTGGGTTCAAAATGAGGAGACCGGGATACCCATGAAAATCATTGAAAATCCACGGGTTCATGATCATTTTTCTCAGTAAAACGCCATCAACGTGGCGGTGTATACCATGTTCAGACACCCGCACCGTCGATCGTCGCTGTCGGAGCGAGAGTGCCGCGATGGTCGCAACGGCCATGGGCACCACAAAGGGCACTCCTGGGTAGCGAAAAATTCTGTAGGGCGAACATCAACCACCAGCCACTCACAACACCTCAAAAAATCCTTTTAACCATATATTCTTGACGGGGTCACCTGGTCACCTTTAGGGTAGTTGAATCCAGTTCAAGGTTCGCGAATTCAAAAAGACCCAATGAAATGGCGTGAATCACTGTTGATGGTTCAGTCTGCGAAATTGATTAGTAATCCGACTGATGGTTCATGGTGTTTTTCCCATAGGATTTGAACTCCAAAAGTACGCATGATTTTCATTGCATTTGCAAGGGTCTCTGCAATGATTCTTTGCAATTTTTCTGGTGCGTCTTCCATTGGGGTTTGATTCAATGTGTCCTTTTAGTAAATTAATACATATGTATATATATATATAATTATATATGTATCTATCTATATGTGTATAAATATGTTGGGGTGGGTTTGAATGTCATATTTTGATATATAACTTGTCTTTATTTAGCATGGTTGGGACCCATTTTTTAGGCGCCTTTCGACTTAATGTCTCTGCGTGCGGTCGCCACAGGGTCTAAACCTGGAGGATTCCGGAGACAGCGAGACCGGGGGACAAGTCTTTTTTTGCCCCAGTAAAAATGGTGATTTTATTGGGAAAATATGGGAAAATGATGATAAACGACAGGATTTGAGGGTTCTGAATTTTCAGACAACCCCATAGGAGAATTTTTGGTGTTCTCCACCCAAGAATTGGGGGATATTGGGTTTCCAGCTGGCGACAGCATGGCAGATTGAAATAAGAAATTATGTTGGCAAGTTCATCTCTTGGCAATGGATCGAAATGATTCACCAAATCCGATGTTTCGAGACTGTCGGCAAAGTCAAGGGTCCCATTTGTTCCTAAATTGGTCGCCATGTCCATTGGTGGGCCATAGTTGTCCACACCTGCAATTTGTTCCATTGCCAACAAACCATGTTCCAGCCTGGAGTGGACATAGTGCTGAGACAGGGCACAAAGGCCGCCGCACCTTACAAGAAAACAATACAATAGGGTTAGTTCCTACCCTCTGGAAATTATCATCTCTGAAAAGAAAACAACTATGCTTAACGGGTAAAAACACTGACAGATAGTTCCAATGGACCTTCATGTTCCCGTGCCATGCGAGACTACTTGAGTGTGCCAAAATGTTGTGGCATCGAATGGCGTCTAGTGAATCAACACTAACACAGAATAGTCAAGCCCCTAGCCAGCGAAGAGCGCCATGCATATAATGCCTCGCCTGGTCAAAGTGGGATATCCATTCTGAAAGTGATGGAAATCCCAAGGACATCCAATGAAATGCAAAACATGCCAGGAACACATGGTGTCCCAGTCCCCTTTGCAAGGGAAGGAACCCGAAAAATTTGATCCACGTCTCACGGCAAACAACGGTACTCATGCTACTTCCACCTCGCTTAGAGTGGTTCCATGTCAGTACCAAAGAATATGGGTTTGTTTTAAACAATCATTTATCTCCGTTTATGGTGATTTTGGGGATGCTTTATTATCACTTGACAACATTAGTGCAATTCACGGTTTTTCCTGCAAGTTGCTGCTTTAAGCAAACAAATTGGAACAGCAGACCTGTGCTCCGAAATGGGTTCGTGATTTGATTGGCCACTAGGACCAATGAAACCGGCTTTGCCGGTAGCTCTAGTGCTCGGCCTTGCAAACGACAGCGGCCTCACGCCTTATTTTTTGATGCTTTCCAAGCACATTGGATCTGGCCGGAGATGAATCCGTTTCATCTGTTGCAGTTTTCAAGAACTATTAATTACAATAATATTAGAATGTTCTTTTCCAATGCGACATTCATCAAGCAATAAACTGATGCATCTGCAAGTTTCACTGGTTTGCCCGTTGGGGTTTGTAATGTCAGCCGTTTTGGGTGGGTGTGGCATCTTTCCACTGAGCACAAATAGAGTCGCTTGACGACACAGTGTTGGTGGTGCACAGGGCGCAGGTGTTGGGTTCAATCGAAAATTGCAAAATGCAGGGCCCACCCGCCCGCCACTCGATCAAAATGTTACATGATTCGTTTGAATTGTGCAGCAACAATTCACGACTGCAAATAAACTATTGTCACACGTGACATGTAGTTTTTTCCAATGCGACACACAGCAATAAACTGATGCATCTGCAAGTTTCACTTGTTTTGGACGTTGGGGTTTGTAATGTCAGCCGTTTTCCCCAATTTTTTTTCACTGACATACACAAGGCTGCCAAACACTTAGTTGCAGATTCAGATACGTCCAAAAAATCCAGTTTCCTCATCAGTTGTATATCTCCTCTTGAAGATGCATCCGCAATACTACCAGTAGGACCGCACAAGGCGGTGGCGGAAGTTTCAAAAATAGGAAACCTATAGGAGAGGTTGGTTGTGGTGAATCAGGGATGGCAGAGCGAAGCCACTGATGGATCGAAAGGTGATTGATCTCTCTCACTTTTTCTCTCTCTTTCTCTGACTACCTATCTGTCTATCTATTTATCTATCTATCTATCTTGCTATCTATCTATCTATCTAGCTATCTATCTATCTATCTGTCTGTCTATCTGTCTGTCTGTCGGTCTATCTGTCTACCCGTCTATCTGTCTATCTGTCTATCTGTCTATCTATCTATCTATCTGTCTATCTGTCTACCAGTCTATCTGTCTATCTATCTATCTGTCTATCTATCTATCTATCTATCTATCTCTCTCTCTCAATCTGTCTCTTTCATCTGTCTATCTGTCTAGCTGTCTACCTGTCTATCTGTCTATCTATCTATCTGTCTGTCTACCTGTCTATCTGTGGCGCAGTGTCATTCAGTGTCATGTGGTGTAGTGTAATGTAGTGTAGTGGAGTGTAGTGGAATGTAGTGTAGTGTGTAGTGTAATGTAGTGTAATTTAGTGTGGTGGAGTGTAGTGGAGTGTAGTTGTGTAGTCGTAGGTGTAGTTGTAGTGTAGTGTAATGTAGTGAAGTGTAGTGGAAGGTAGTGTAGTGTAGTGTAGTGTAGTGTAGCGTAATGTAGTGTCGTGGAGTGTAGTGTAGTGTAATGTAGTGTAGTGTAGTTTAATTTAGTGTAGTGGAGTGTAGTGGAGTGTAGTGGAGTGTAGTGGAGTGTAGTTGTGTAGTTGTAGTTGTATTTGTAGTGTAGTGGAGTGTAGTGTAGTGTAATGTAGTGAAGTGTAGTGGAAGGTAGCGTAGTGTAGTGAAATGTAGTGTGTTGTTGTGTAATGTAGTGTAGTGGAGTGTGGTGGAGTGTAGTGGAGTGTAGTTGTGTAGTTGTAGTTGTAGTTGTAGTGTAGTGGAGTGGAGTGTGATGTAGTGAAGTGTAGTGGAAGGTAGTGTAGTGTAGTGTTATGTAGTGTAGTGGAGTGTAGTGTAATGTAGTGTAGTGCAATGTAGTGGTGTGTAGTGTAGTGTAGTGTAATGTAGTGTAGTGTAGTGAAGCGAAGTGAAGCGACATCTGAACCTGCAAAAGTGGTCCGAACCCCTAGTGTTTTTAACATTTTGACTTCCAAATGTGCTTCGCGCCACAACGGCGTGAACTTTTTCAACATCCGAACCTTGAAAAGTGGCGCGAACATGTGGTGCTTTGTACATTTCGACTTGGAAATGTGCTTCGCGCCACAACGGCGTGCACTTTTTTGACATCTCAACTTCCAAAAGTGGTCCGAACCTGGTGTGTTTTGTACATTTTGACTTGGAAATGTGCTTCGCGCCCCCCCGACATCTCAACTGCCAAAAGTGGTCCGGAGCTGGTGTGCTTTGTACATTTTGACTTGGAAATGTGCTTCGCGCCACAACGGCGTGCACTTTTTCGACATCTCAACTGCCAAAAGTGGTCCGGACCTGGTGTGTTTTGTGCATTTTGACTTGGAAATGTGCTTCGCGCCACAACGGCGTGCACTTTTTCATCTCTATCTGGCCAGCTGGCTCCGCACCGGCCGCTTTAGCGAGGCCTACTTTTCGACCCTCCGGAGCCCCAAATCATTGGAAAAACACAGTGTTTCGCGACTTTCCTACCCTTTCGCGCATCTGCATCTTCTTTCTTCTACTCTTCTTTCTTCTAATCTTTCTCTTCTCTCTGCCTCTTCCCTCCTCTGCTTTTCATCTGTCCATATTGTCGGAAGTTTGACTTCTAAACTTCCTTCGACCATAAGAGTTTACTGTTGAGATCCAGCACATTGTTCTCACATGAGCTTCAATTTCAACAAAAACTTCTGCAATCGCATCTGCGCCTGATCAGACTGAACTTTATTCCTGCGCTGTCAACATACAGATTTTTTTCCGGCCAGAGAACCTTTCAGCCAACAATCTATATGCTAAAACTGCGCATAGCGACTCTGCCTCACAAATTATTTGTTTCTTTCTGGTTTCTTTCTCCAAGCAAGCAACGTTGTTCTTCTTCCAGCTCGCACGAAAAATCTAAACGCAAATTGCAACTGTTGTCAACCAGTATGGCTCCCAAGCCACAGATTCTGTCTCTTGAGTCACGCTCGTAACAAGTATCAACTATTACCACTACTGAATCCACAAAATCCAAAGAGACTTGTCCAGGGACATCAGATTTGAGGAGGCTGACAACGCGATTCTGCAAATCGCATTCTACCTCGAAACTTCTGTGCTTCGATCTGTGTTATGCTCCCTCGTGCAATCAATCTATGTATCTCGGTGGAAATCTCTTGTACTCTTGACTCCATTTTGAAACTTTGCAAACGCCATCACCTGAAGCATGCAAATCAAAGACTACTCCTAAGGCTTCGCAAGTGTTGTTGAAGGGAACACATTTGCGCCTTTGTTCTGCGAAACTCCAGCCTAAGAGTTTGAAGAGCGAAGAAGCCGTCAGCTCAGAGCCTCGTGCCAAACCAGGAGGGCTGAAAACAATGTAATCGTCGAAAAATGACGACCAGAACAGTCCGCATCCAACTACTCCCAGCCACCAAATTGCCCTGGCAAGTCTCAGAAAGGCATGAACACTTTTAATGGCACCGAAAGGAAGAACTTGCGCTTGAAAAATATCCCACCTGTTCTCTCCAGGGTTTTAAACCCGAATGTAAGCCATGTTTCTGCCCTCCAAGCACAGGCCAACTTGTCGAAAAGCACTCGACAAATCAAAAGCGCGTGCCACCAACTGTTTTGAGCAACCCACTGTTGAAGCACATCCAAACCAGTGAGTTATAGCTGCACAAACCACATCCGCAGTGTGTAGAACTGGCGTTTCATACGCCATGACTGTTTGGCTGACAGAGGATTCTGAAAACTCATCAATCAATCTGATTTTCTGTTTTGTCTCAATCCGCATCTTTTTGATATCGGAGCGTCAGCAGGGACGATTTCAGCATCCAGTGGTCCAATAAGCCAACCTCTGTCTCTTTCTTCAAGCGTCTGCCTCCAAACCTCCATATCCACTTCAGAATCACCTGATCCTTTTGCATCGGACATTCGGCTCTGCCGCCGGAACTCAGATTTTCAGAGCCTCTACTGTCAAACCTGCTGGGGTGAATTTGAAAGGCAGCATACCCGTCTTTGGAATTTCTCCTGTCAGGGAAGCTCCTTGCGTCAACTCATCCAACACCTTAGGGTCAAGATATTTGTAGAAGCTGAGCATCTCGCCAAACAAGGCCAGTTTCTTGCCACGCACTGAAGCCTCCACTACAGGATCCATTGCTTCACGCAGTTTCTTTTCCTCCAGTTGCAAATCTTTGGTTTGTTTGTTCCAGTAGCTGAAAGACTCAGCTCTCCGCTTAGCAACAACTACTGCTCCAGCATCTACGCTGAAATTAATTGCATATGCTAACTCCTTCGGTAATGCTAAAGCAGGGCTTAGCGGGTCTCTGTTTTTGGGATCCTTTTTGGGCGCAAAAGGGGCGCGCCTTTTAACCCCGTTCGAAGCGCCAAACCAACGGGAAAATTACCTTCAAACCATGCAGCTGGCATATGAAAATGCGAGAGCCGAAAACCCAAAGTATGATCTCAAGAACCAACACGTGCAACACTGCACGCTTCAAGCCCCCTTTTGCACGCGACAACAAGCACGAAAAGATTGAAGATGTCAGTTCATGTAGCTGTACTGTGATCTATCTCTTGTTTGTCTCACACACCTTGAGAGCGAAATCGGCAGTGGAAACTCGATTCCGGGTCTAACAATTCCTGAGGTAAATCAAAACCTGCATGACTTCAAACGTTTCTTGGACAAAAGTCACAAAATAAGTGACGTCCAAACTGTTTGGTTTCAAGTTCACAAATCCCTAGATCCACAAACCTTGCAAATTAATTAGTCCATCGAGATAGGTCATTAAATCCCTTTACAGGTGGGTTTTCCTCCCGTCAGTCGCCATCCCAATTCTCAACACAAGTCTCAACGGACCCTTCCGTCAAGTGATGCCTTCA